TCTACATATTAATACATATTTTTCATTTAACAAAGATATTATTATGAAAATAAATTTATTATTTTTTATACAAATAGTGAAAATTAATATCAAAAATTGATAAAATAATTTATATTAAAAAATTAAATATTGCGAAAATTTAATGTAAACTTTTGAAAAAATAAAAATTAATACATAATTTACATTGCATTTATTGTTTACATAAATATATTAATTTACATTTTAACTAACGGTACAAATTGATTTATAATCAATGAATTAATTTCATTAAGAAATAATATATAGATACAATTTTTATTCAAAAATGCTTTCAATATTTTTTAGTGTAATGAAATATATTATGCAGCCTACAGTAATGAATGGTACTCCGTGAATTCAAAAATTACACAAGATTTATTGTTATTGTTAATAAGAGGTGCCAAACCGATTCATCTCACCGCTGGAAAAATATTCCCTATGACAATGATGACATTTTGCAGGGTAAGATACAATATTTTTATATTTAATTATTACTATTGTAAAAAAAGCATTTTTAAATAGTTTTAATGATATTTCATATATGTATATATAATAAATCTATATTATAATAATTTAAAAATTTCTAAATATTTTATTTTATTATATTCGTGTATTTTTTAGGTACATTTATGTATCTATTTTATGTATACATTACGTACGTCTTAAATTTCGTGATTACATATCCATATTATTAATTATTATTAAAAGTATTTTTTTCAGTTAATAAAAACATCAGTCGGATATATATCTGTTTTGCATACAACGAGAAGTCATTAAAAAAATAAAATATTATAAATCTGAATTTTTTTGAAAATATTATTATTTTATAAAATGCAATAATCCAAAGTTATGTAAATATTAAAATGTCATGAAATAAATTACAAAGTTTATTGTATAATTTCATAAAAATGTGTTAGCAATTATATTAGATAATAAGAAGCAATCTAGAATTAAATTTAATTCTGTTTCAATTTAAAAAGTACCATTTTCAAATCAAACCAGCAAATATTAATTGTTAATATTAATTACAGTATGGGTTCCTACAAACGAACGACTTTGTAGCGCCAATTAAAAGCGTCGACCCAAAAGATATGGGAACTATATTTTTCGACAATCGATATCCAAATTAAGTAGTAGACAATAATTCAATCTTGTCGTTATCGATTTTTTTTCAGAAAAAATTTATCACTAAAGCATCAATGTTGAATGTCGTTGCAATCGATAGTTAATACCCTTATTCCAAGACAGGCGGACTATCATATCCCTCAAAAAGATACAAGGGATCGCCAAGGGATCGAATCAAAGTGGTAAATTTTTTCTGAAAAAAAAATCGATAATCTACTACTTAATTTTGATATCGATTGTCGAAAAATATATAATTCCCATATCTTTTGGACGATCACGAAGGTAGCCATATAACTTACCCAAATAGATACAATTTTACATGGAGTAAAAAAATTATATTTGCAGTTTTTACACACTTTTTTCTATTTGTTAATTAAAAATATTTATTAATAAAAAATATTTTGTTATATGTCTAAATAAAGTATATATTACAACTATCGTCTTGTTGTGTATTATTTGCATTAAAAGTGATAATGAAAAAGAAGTTTATCATATCACTTTGTTTTTAGATTATATTTCTTAAATAAAAACTAAAAATCAAATTTTAGACATAAATATCAGTTAGAAAGTATTTTTTATAAGATATAGTTGTTATTATAATATTGCTTTCAATTTTGTATAATATTGCTATTTAATATTGCTTTCATTAACTTTTTAATAAAATACACAAAACATGCAACTGAAGGCAATAATGCCACATATATTTCTAATCTTTTCTTTTTACAGGAGTTATATATTCCAAATAAGTTTTAATAAATTTTATGAATTTAATATTATTTTGGATTAATGTATTTAAGGACAAATTTTTTGCATTTATAATTATTAATTATTAAAATTCTTGGACTTTCGATAACATTGTATTATATAATAAATAAATGAAATGCAATTATAATAAATAAATGAAATGCAATAATATATGTTTTTTATTAAAAAATGAACACTATAAGTATTATGATACTTAATATGAATTCTTCTTAACTACAGTTAGAATTTTACAGCCTTTTCCAGACGCGTGGGAACATACCATACGTATGGGCGCTTTTCCCAACAGCATGATCAACTTGCAACTTTTTATTCGTAAATGTCTCAAGTTCTTGAAAATTTGATAAAAATTCGAAACTAGAATTAACGGAGGAAATTGAAAACTTCTTGTTACAAGTCGATAATTTGCTACTTTCAAGAAGGCATATTAAAAGCATGCGCACGAGAAATGTTTTTTGATGTTCAGGAGGTAACATCGATTCATGAAAAAGACAGAGACATCAGTCTTTAGATAACACTAGACATGGAAAGTTGGAAATATGACCGAGGTGCTTATAGTCTTGATCACTGTAGCTGTAAATAAAAATTTTAAGGAAGTATTTACTTTATTTGCAATACGTGAAAAGAGTGAAAGTATTTGTAATAATAATAATTTATGTTTTATTAAATCAACATTAACAGAAATTATAAATTATCGCTTTTTATAGTGTAACGTGTTTTTTATACATCTATATCAATCTTAATATATGTAATATCTTTATTATGTTATTAAATGACATGTAGTAACCTGTTGGCTAATTACATCATGTTTAAGTTCAATCATAATTATTAGTTATTTGTTTCTTCATATAAATAATTTAAACTCATATAAATAATTTAAACTTACATGATAAAATTTCTAAGCAAAAATTCTTCGATATATTATTTTAAACGTATTTCATTAAATAATTTAATATTTTGTATATTTTTGTATATTTGATCTATATAATAATGTTGTATATTAATAATAATGTTGTATTATAGTATATTTTGTATTATGTAATCTTTTTAACAATCTTCGGACTTATCAAGATTTCTGCAGATTTTGAGTGGGCGATGAAATTAAATCGTTTCACTTTAGATTTCCTTGGACTTTGGCCTAAGAACATTCAAAATCCTTGGCAAAAGTTAATGTGCAATTTTCGAGTGCTGATAGCTTTCCTGGGAATAACGTTCTGCCTTTTTATTCCTTCAATACATTCATTGATAATAGTTTTTGGAGACATTTTACTTATATTAGATAATTTACAAATTACTTTACCAGTTACGAGCTGCTTGATTAGAATCATAATTTTTTGGTGGAAAAAAAAAGGTAAATATTATGTTTTGTTTATAAAAAAGAGAGAGTTACAAATGGTTAATAATACATGATTAAAATATTAAAAGTTCAATATTAATAATTATATATCTTTAAATCTTTCATATTTATTCACAGATATGAATTCAGTTCATAAATAGATATATCTTATTTATTGTGTATATGTACATACATTATAGTTAATCATGTCAGTATGCTTTCTAAAAAATTTATGAGTATATTAAGTATTTCACAGATTTATAAATTTACGTTATTATAAATATTAGGAAGAATAAATTTAAAATAGACATGTAAAAAACTTAAAACAAAATCTTTTAAATAAGATTCTTGTCACTAATTTTTTTGTAAATAGAAATATTATATAAATTATGAAAAAGAATATATTATATTGACCTTTTCAGTATATGCACATAAATACTTTTATATCCTCTATTATCAATAAAAAAGACATACATATATACATATGTAAATAATATTATTGAATGTATAAGATATTTTTTTGTAAATTAATTAATATTTCCAATTGTAAATTATAATATCATTATGCTTTAAATTTTAAAGAATTAAAAAAAATAACAGCAGTTCATATGATTTTTATGATTTAGAATTGATTTTAATATATCTTCATTTTAAAAAATCTTGTAAAACGTACATAAAATTATTTACTTTTCAAGCTGTTATACCGATTATAAACATGATCACAAATGATTGGATAAAAATAAAAAATGATCAAGAAAGAAATTTAATGATACGAAGAGCGCAAACTGCACGAATAATTATTATTTGTTCCTATTGCATAATGGGATTACAATGGTTTTTTATTTCTATACTGCCTATTTTTGGAGTGACAATGAGACTGACACCTAATATTACTGATCCAGGAAGGATACCAATGCCTTTACAATCTCATTATATTTATGATATAACAAAAAGGCCGCAACATGAATTAACATTTATTAGTCAGGCAGTCTATGTAGCTATCGGTATGATGGCCTATACTGGAGTGGACAATTTTCTCAGTCTCGTAGTTTTTCATATATGCGGACAATTAGACATTCTTGAGAATCGTATGCAACATTTAGATAAATACAAAAATTATCCCAAAATACTGAGACGCTGCATAGGAAAACATATTCGTTTGCTTAGGTTTGTTACTTGTAAAAAAAACATATATGTATGTGATAATCTGTACAAAATATGTGATTGAACATATTTGGTACATAAAATGTCTTCCACAGAGCTATTGATATCATTGAAGATACGTATAATGGAATACTTCTCTCTTTATTTATATATTTTGCGATACTTTTTGCTTTCTATGGATTTCGGATAATTAGCGTAAGTATTATTGAAACTGAAAATTAAATAAAAAGACGTTTACATCTAAATTATCCTGCTGAGTAATTATGTATATTTTAATGATTATAATCAATAAGTTATTACATTTAAATTTACATGTTATTACAAAATTAAATATTATTAGTAATAGGAATAATTATGTTGTATCGTTTATGTTTTTTCATAACTTAATTAGCTATTCGATGAGGGAAATGATATGTCGATCACTCACTTAATCTATTTTATATCCTCTATTATCAATATATTTACACACATGTGCCTATATTGCGTCCTTGGCGAAATTTTAGTGGCTCAGGTAATGAGTTACATGAATATTTTATTTTATTTCGGAATTACTAAATTGATTTTGTATAATTTTGCATGTTAACTATAAACTACTGTGCATATGTAATAATGACTAATTTTTATTTATATATGAATCAATGCAATAATTGATATCTAAAAGTATTTTTAATATTTTTAAGTGCAACAAGGTATACTATGCAGCATATAGTAATGAATGGTACACCATTGATCCAAAAATTGCAAGAGATTTGTTGCTCTTAATGACAAGAGGTTCTAAACAGATTTGTCTTACTGTTGGAAAAATGTCTCCTGTTACAATGGCCACATTTTGCAGTGTAAGATATTTTAATATTTAATTATAATTATTATAATAAAATATTATTCAATGTCATAAAAATTTAGTTAAAATCTATTATATCTATATAAAATTTGAATTATATATTTTATGTACATGTGCAATTTTCATCAAATTTTATGATTATTTAACTATTAAATTTATATTGTTAATCATATTATTATTTAAAAAATATGTTTTTAGTTAGTAAAAACATCCGTTGGTTATATATCCGTTTTGCATACAACAAGAAGGTGATACTAAGTATAAAAAAATGGAAACTTTTTGCCAATATTATGCAATTTTTGATAGAATACGATAGAAATATGCCGATATTCACATGTCATTTGCAAATAAATATATCTTAGTGCATTAT